TGGGCCCTGAACTGAAAATGATGAATCTTCTACCCTATCCTTATGCAGGTAGGCATCTCTTAAATCTATGGTTGCCATAAAAGCTCCTGGCTGAATGATGTTCTTGTCAGCAAAAATGGAGTCCATTCTGAACTTCTTGTACCTCACCGAGACATTCAGAGGCTTCAAGTTTAGGATAAGCCAGAATTTTCCTAAAGGCTTTTGGGCAACAACCAAATGAGAATAAAATCCCTTGGTCATTTCTTCTCTCGAAACGGGGATTATTACCTTTTGGTCTGACACAATAATAACCCCAGCATTGGTGGTCAGTTGATGTAATAATAACCCCCAACACTGATGGTCAGTTGACACAATAATAACCCCCCAGCATTGGTGGTCATTTGATGCAATAATAATCCCCCAGCATTGGCGGCCAGTTGACGCAATAATAATCCCCCAGCATTGGTGGCCAGTTGACGCTATAAAACCCCCCCAGCATTGGTGGCCAGTCGACGCGATAATAACCCCCAGCATTGGTGGCCAGTTGACGCTATAAAAAAACCCCAGCATTGGTGGCCAGTCGACGCAATAATAACCCCCAGCATTGGTGGCCAGTTGACCCAACCTTAACCCCCAGCATTGGTGGCCTGGTAACGCAACAATAACCCCCAGCATTAGTGGCCAGTTGATGAAATAATAACCTCAAGCATTGGTGGTCAGTGGCATTATTAATTAACTCTTCCCCCACCCTGCATTGGTGGGTGGTTAGTGGAAATTTACAACACCACTGAACACTCACCAGTGCAAGGAGGAAGAAGTTAATCAACAATGACACTGACCACCCACCAATGCAAGGGGGTTTTGCTAGGTGGTCAGTTGTATTGTTAACCCTCCCCTGCTTGCATTGGTAGCAGTGTCAGTACAAGCTGAAAATGCACTTACATGTGCAATGAAAAATGCCAGCACAGCCTTGACATCACGCCAGGACTCAAAGGCGTCGGCTGCTTCTGCGCATTTTTGCACATTGTGCTGTAATTTGTAGTGCGTTGACGCGTGTTGCTCCATGATATAAGTTCCTGTTTTCTTTTTACATAAGTTCCTGTTTTCCGCAGATAAAGGAGAGTGTTTCCTGTTGTGTTCCCTGCTGCATTGCCCTGGTGATGGATCATTATTTCCTTCGGTGGCACAGTCTGGCAGCTGTCTTGACCATGATGATGCTCCTAGACAACAGGAGAAAGCAAAGGGGAAGGTTCTGGGTTCATCATGTCTTTGCAAGCAGACAGCAGAGCGGCCAGTTTTGGGCCATGTACGATGAGCTACGTGGGCCTTATGACAAATGTTTCCAATACATCCACATGTCACTTGAAAGGAGTTTCCATGCTGTAAAAAACGTGCGTATTTGCAATGAAAGTCTATGGACCAAAAACATGCTGTATATGCCACAAAGTAGCTCATTAACGTTTCTATGCGGCAGACGGTTTTTTTTTTCACGTGCAACGCAATGCTCAGGTGTTAACAGGGATCATTGAAATTAATTGAATTTTCTTTGCTGAGCGTTTCAGCACGCATAAAAACGTGTGTTGAAGCACCTAGGTGTGAACAAGGCCTTAAGGCTTTCTCCTGACAAACCTGCACCCAATTTTATCTTCTGCCCCACGTGCTCCAAGATGGAGACTCTGATAGTGTAGAGTTAGGAACACACTATAAGAGGTGCCTTGGCGCGGCTGTGCGGCGTTCATATTTTCTGCAGAAGACGTGTATCCAAACCTCTGTTTTTAACCTTAGTGTGAGACAATTTTTTTACATGCTAGCTTGTGAGTGTGCTGGGAAACTTTTTTCTTTTTGACTGTTTAAAGCCCATTCCGTGTGCACCTTACTGTAAAGCTGGTGACGAATCGATGAGTGGGTTTGTCATGTGTTTTGCTACACTACACATGAAGCCGCAGTGTGTGCACCTTTGAGAGCAGTGTGTCTTATTGCCTATCGTGCGTGTCAGCTGGTGAAAGATCGCATAGCTGAACGTACCGAGATTAAAAATTTCACCTTCAGCCAATTGTCTCGCACTATAAAACCCCCGCGTCCTTATGCAAACTCCATGGAGTTCTTACACGTAGCCTGATTGGCTGAAGATGAAGTCTACTTGTGCAATCGCACACTACATGAGAATATTTGCTTCTCCAGCTTTGCGTGCAGTGTGTCACAGGCTTCAGGGCTAGTTCACACCAAGCGCGTTCCAGAAGCAGCTGCAGAGCAGTTACAGAACAGATCGAAACTGCGTCCAATGTATTCCAATGGTATTTTGGGCTGTAGTTCACACCGCAGGTTTCAGTTCCAGAGCATTTTTTTTTTTTACAAATACGGCCCGGAACGCGTCAAAAAACACTGTACTGCTTGTGCAGAAACTCATGCATTTCTGGTCCGCATTTGGTGTGAACAAGCCCTCATTCGTCTGTCGGCCAGGTATAACTCTGCCTCTACCCGTATAAATGGAGTAGTTCGCCTGGCCATGGCTGCCAGTGTCTCAGTGCGGGGTGATGGGGAACGCATGGAGCGTCCCAGGTGGCACCCAGCAGCCCGATGCCACTCTGCAAACCCCCACCCATCTGTAATGTCTCTTCCTCCTATTTTTTACGCCTCCACCAGTAAAAACAAAGTGCAGTATGTGGGACTCAGGCTGTGCTTTGTTTCTGTTTACATCTCCACAATGAATGAAATAATGGTTGCTGTAATGACCCAGCAACCAGCCCTAAAATTCCAGCTGTGCAGGGTCAATTCCAGCATTTTCCCAGGCATGGGTATAAGTACAGCAGCCATTTTAGCACCCTGCCACTTTAAAAGCTAGACCCGGAACAAGAGCATCTCGTCCAGGATGGCATCACGTTACCACGGAAACCAAAGCTTCCTGTTTTCGGCGGATGTGCCGTTATCGCCGAGCGGTCGCCATCTTGGAAAATGGCAGGCGACGCTACAGAGAAGAGATGCAGTGGTTGAGCAGCCTGGAAACGTAGCGTATATCCCCGGCTTTACAGGTACTCAAACCGCACCCCCTGACTTCCAAGCGCAAAGGGGGCCCAGCGCTCCCCCTCCGCGGGGCAGGAGACCCAAACAGGACTAGAAAACAGAGGCGGGGGGACAGCACAGAGGCAGTCCAGGAGGAGGTAGCAGATATTGGCCAGTAGCAAATTAAGCCTAAACGCGGTTATTTAAATTGCTGAAATTACCGGACACACGGTATGGTACCCCTGAATGAATGGAGGATTTACCTCCGGCCACAGAGTCTTCTTCCTGGACAGGCTGAAGGAGGGAGGGAGGGAAGGAAGAATAAGAGGAGCTGCCTGGAGCGAGGATGAGGCAAAGTAGGCGTTTGCCTAGGGCGGCACCTTCCTGGGGGGCGGCCGTAGTCAAACGCCTATGTTGTGAAGACGAGGGGCGACCCGGAGCCCGTCTGTGTAGGAGTAGAGGGCGGCTTGCCTGCTTGTGAAGAGGGTGGGAGGACGGGTGACCCAGGAAGCAGTAAGATCGATTAAGTGGCCGCCGGCTGCTTTTCGTTTTCTGAGTCACGATCCCATCCGTCGGCTGCGCTGTCCGGCTCCCGTCCTGAAGTGATGGCAAGTAATCCCGGGGGTGCGGGGGATGGGTTGTTATCGGTGCCTGCGACGCTGGAAGTAAGGTGCCGGGGGCGGCCGAAGTTTGGCTTGCCTAGGGCAGCCAAATACATAAATACACCACTGCACACACACACACACACTGTCCAAAATGTCTTGGTATGCTGATGCCTTAAGAGTTCCCTTCACCGGAACTAAGGTGCCAACCCCACACCATAATCCCCCCCTCCACCAAACTTTACACAATGCAGTCAGTCAACCGCCAAACCCAGACACGTCCATCGGATTGCCAGACAGAGAAGCATGATTCGTCACTCCAGAGAACACGTCTCCACTTCTCTAGAGTCCAGTGGCGGCGTGCTTTACATCACAGCATCCCCCGCTTTGCATTGCACTTGGTGATGTAAGGCTGGAATGCAGCTGCTCGGCCATGGAAACCCATTCCATGAAGCTCTCTACACACTGTTGTTGTGTCAATCTGAAGGCCACACGAAGTTTGGTGGTCTGTAGCTGTGGACTCTGCAGACGGTTGGCGACATGCGCTGACCCCGCTCTGTCATTTTACGTGGCCTACCACTTCGTGGCTGAGTTCCTGTTGTTCCCAGTTGCTTCCACTTTGTTATAATACCACTAACAGGTGACCGTGGAATATTTAGTAGCATGGAAATTTCACGGAACACCTGAATCCAATGATTTGGTGTGTGTGTCAGACGGCCAATCGCTGCGGGAGGAGAGCGCTGTGAGTGGCCGATGTCTCTCCTCCCACACCGCTCTGCCTCCTATCACAGTCCGGCACAGCGGTGTGTGGGCGGAGACAGGCCGCGCTGTCGCAGGAGGCTGAGCTCTCCTCCCTGCACCGCTCGCTCAGCCTCCTGTGACAGCGTGTCAGAGAGAAGAGCAAGGTACAAACACTCAGCGATCAGTGATCGCTGAGTGTTTGTAGATAATTGAGGACATGGTATGTGTACTATATCCTCAATTATGAATGAATGGGAAGTGATCTACATCACCTCCTGTTCATTCATGATTGTGGTTATAGTAAATTATTCTCATGTTATGAATGAACAGGAACACTTAGTATAGATTCCTGTTCATTGATAACAGGGGATACAGAAAGAGATTGCGGACTTTGTGTCCTCAATCTCTGTTTCTATTTTAAAAGGGAAATAGGGGTCTGTTTAGACCCCTAATATTTCCCCAAAGCCCCTAAAAGTAAAGTTAAAAAAATAAAAATATTTAATACAAAATAAATGAATAAAAAAAGTTTATAAAAAAAAAAAGATATATTTTAAATTGAATTGAGGCTTCCTGATGCTCAGGCTCTTTGTTATTGTACATTGTATTCTATTAGTGAAACATTTGTTTCCTAGAATAAGTGTCCTCTGCCGTTTTTCCAGATGGTGAAAGTGTTTTCTTTTTTCTTTTTAGTAATCCAGCACCCATACATGCCAGTCATCATGAATTTTGATGCATTGGACCCGGCTTTGGCAGAATATGGCCCCGCCCTGCATGCGCCCTTGGATCCAGTCCTTGATCCCCACCTGAACCCTGGTCTTCTACAGTCTGTGGAGCTTGACCATGACCGTGTTGGGTTGGAGGGCTTGCCAGTCCCGGAGCCTGTGCACATTATGGAAGGGATGTATTCTGAGCTGCACACGGCTGTTTCTGAGGTTGGAGTTCCTGTCTCTGCTGTGCACTTTGATGTCCATGAGGAAATGCTGTGGGTTGGCAACCATGGGGTGAGTGTTAATTTTGGCCTGTACTTTTTTAGTCCTGCTTTATTTTTGGTTATGCCAATAAGCACATCAGCGCTTTTTGTTTTCCCAGTTGGTGTGAGCAGTTAAAAATGATGTTCATGAAGAATTGTAGTTCAAGATAAACAATTACTTATCCATTATAAAATTCTCCCTCTCCCTTTTTTGTTTTTTATTTTTTTTAGCTTTGGGTAGATAGTGTATGGAAGGTTTTGAGCCCCTAATGGGTTTTAACCCTTCCTTAATCTATACAAAACTGAAAAAAATCTGTTTGGGATCTAGGCACATTTTAAGCAGAAGTCCAGGCAAACAAATAAATACACATTTGAAATGTATACATAGGAGCTGTTCTACCTGATCTAGGAGTTCTATTTATCCAGTCCTCTGTGATTTACACATCCCCGTCAGACAGCAATGCTAGGTTGGTGACCTGACGTTTTGTCTGCTTCATTTATTCAGCAGGATTCGGACTAAAAGAGCTGTCCTTGACCCAGCTGTATTGCTTTAAAGTGGCCCTGTCACTACAGGTTCAAAACTGCATAACACAGTGCCTGTAAAAGAGGAGGCAATGTCCTTACCGTTTCAGCTTTCAGTTGCCCTCATGATGTAGCTTTCCTGCTCTGCAAGTATTCAGCACTAAGGATGGGTCAAATACCTGTTCCCCGTCGCACTCTGTGGTTCTTCTCTCTAGCTGATGTATCGTATAGTGAAATAAAAGCTGTTGGGAGAAACCGCAGTGTGCAGCATGGAGAGCAGGTAACTCCCAGAAATGTGGAATACCTGCAGCAGCTGGGGGCAGCATTTAACTGGAGTAGAGGGACATGACATGAAAACTTGGCTTTGCTGGGATGTTTTGCTTTAGTAAATTAATTGAACAGAATTTAATTTTTTTTGTCTGGAAAAACAGTTTAAACTTCAGTGTTCAACTGTGAAGTCCGCTTTTTGGCTACACTTTGCTTTAACCCCTTCGTGACTGACGACGTACAGTGTACGTCGCCAGCATCGGGGCTGTTTAAACAGCCGCCGGGAGTCTGTTTAAACTTGTAGAGCCGACTGTCGGCTTTACAACAGAAGCGATTCTGGCGACTTACCTGTCGCCAGATCGCTTCTGTCTCCCATAGAAGGGGCCGCTCCCTCCCCTGCCGGACACCGCAGCCGTGCTTCCCAGGCTCCGTTGCCCTTCATACGGGCCCGGGACCAGCATCCTTGGTGTCCGCGGGGAGCTAGGGAGGAGGTCGACAAACTTCCGTTCATCAATCCCCTCCCCGTTCTATGGGACCGGGAGCAATGCAGATTGCATCACTTCCGGTCCCTGGGCTGTCAGTTCTGGGCTCCTGCAGCCCAGTTATAAGCTATTGAAGTGGCGACGCGCGTCGCCACGTAAACACGCGTCGGGTGCGCCTACGTATGAAAACGACGAACGAGCTACACATGTTGGGTACGCGCGCACGCCAGAGTGAGAGCAATAATTCTAGGGCCAGTATTTTGGGGTATCTCTAAATTTATGACCTGTGGGGGCTTTTAAAGCGTCTTCTATGGATTTTTTGGGGTACTGCAGTTTCTCGCCGTTTCACGGACGCACGCAATTTGTAACCTGGGCATGTTGGGTATCGTTTTACTCGTTGTAACGTCATCTTTTATATTTCATTAAAAAAAATTGGTATTTTGTTGTGTTTTGGGGCTTTTAATTCAATTTTTCACTAAATGTTGGGGGTTTAATAAGGAGTTGCGCTAATATTGCACAACATAAAAATTTGCAACTACCACCATTTTATTCTATAGGGTCTTGGCATTCAGAATATATAATGTTTGGGGGTTTTAAGTCATTTTCAGGCCTAAAATGTGGAATATGACATGGGTGCAAAAAATGAAAAAAAGGCCTCAGTCATGAAGGGGTTAAAGCAGCCCTGTCACTATACAAAAAAAGCTGTCTGGTAGAAGTAAAGGATTAAAAAAAAACAAGTTTATTTCAAATTGCCTCCCCACTTGTGATATACATTGTGCATACTGTTTGTAATAAAGCACAGTGTAAATCTTTGGAGCAGTCATGTGACCACACAGTTCCTGCACCTCTGTCAATGAGTGGCTCCCTGCCACTGGTGGGAGTGAACTCTGTTCCCCAGTGGCAATGGGGGAGCTGTGGGATCCTGCAGGTGATGTCACGACTCGAGTTGGTCATTGACACACAGGAGCCAGAGCTGTCTCATGACTTTTTTCCTGAAGAAGTGGGTGGAAAAAGATATTTACACTGTGCTTTATTACAAACTGTATGCAGCATGTATATTGGCAGTGGGGAGGCAAAGTTTTAAACGTTCATTTAGCCTTTCCTTATACTTTAAAGTAGAACTCTGGTTACATTTATTTAACCCTTGCAGTGGAGCTACTCCCTCACTGCAAGGGTTAAGTGCTAGTTTATCTAGGTGCTAAAAAAGTTATATTCAGCAGACCATCCGAGCCAGATTTTTCTTAAACCGGTGTTTGGAACGTCTCTCCCCATCTTGCTGCGGTCTAAGGATCCTGGCATCATCACACTCTATATATTATGCAAAGACTGTATAAATGTGGGGATGCCACGGAGCAGTAGACATGCTTCAGTGATCACAGAAGCAGGGAGCCAGCTTGCATGGCCTGGCAGGTACTTATTTTTTTTTTCTAAGCACCTAGACTTAAACGAGCAGCTTACCCTTGCAGTGCAGGGGTAGCCCCACTATAAGGGTTCATTTTTTTTTTTAAAGTGCCGGCACATAGTTACTTTCATACATCTGGAGCGGCCTTTAAGCCCTGCTGTTGCATTCAAATATTGTGCCATTCTGACAGGTAAAGCTCTGGAACTTCCTGGTAGTCTAAGCTTGCACCATTCCTGCCTCTTGGACTTTCCGTTTGGCCAGCAAAGCAGCACTTTGTAGCCATGGTCCAATAGGAATGTGAGGGGGAGGGCATAAGCTTAAAAGAGAACTATGGGGTTAGGGGGTGCAACCATAGTTCCCCATAGTTCTCCAAAGGGTAACAGGAGGACACAAACTAGCGTCCTCCCGTCACCCAAAGCTCAGTATACCCCGAGCTACAGCTCGGGGTATACTGAGACGCTGCAGCCGGAACGGATCCCAACAATTATGTCTGGATCCGCCCAGCTGCGTGAGTGACAGCTGGCTCTGCCTATCCAGAGGCAGAGCCAGCTGTACCCGCCCCCTCCCCCGTCTGTTCTGCCAGTCAGCGCTGGAGGATCAGAGCGGGCAGGGGGGTATCCAGTCCCTCCCCTGTCACGGCTCTCTGCCGACACAGGATCGATAAGTGAGCGAGCGCCGGTATGTGTTCGCTCACTTCCCGATCTACTGAGCTGACGTGTTGACCGTTTCATTGTCACAGGTCGGCTCAGATTATGAGGCTGAGTGAAAATTACTCGCCTCATAATTCTCCTTTTTTAATATACTAATCCGAGGCATCTGAACTTTGCATTTTAAATGGTCCATCATAATTGCAGGGACATGGACTTCATATACCCAAAGCAACTTCCTTTTTAGGTGCCTCCATTTTATTCCTGATAACAGTTATTTACCAGATTAAACAGTGGAAACCATTTTTATTTCAACAGTATCTATAGCATTTTACTTGTATTTGCACAACATGCAGAATGACGGGTTTGACTTCCAGCAGTGTATTTTTGTGATCTGTATTCTGAAGTATTTTATCCTACAACATGTTTAGCAAGGTGAACCTATTTAAGTCACTTTCTCCACAGGGTCATGCCACCTCCTTCTACAGTCCTGCTCTTGAGAGATATTCCTCTTTCCAAGTGCACGCCACAAATGATATCCGGCAGATTCAGAGTCTGGAGAACGGGGTTGTTTTCCTTACCAAGAACAACCTGAAATACATGATGCGTGGTGGACTGATTATCTTTGACTACCTGTGAGTTATCAGCTCTTTTGGCTTTAAAAGTTTGTAACAAGCTACACTATGTAAAGTGTATCTATAGTCTAGTCTTCCCTGAAGAGGTAAGTTTTCAAGGATCACCTAAAGGTGGACAGATTAGGAGATGTCTAGTTGTGGTAGGGAGCTGCTTTTTGTTTTTTTGTGCTTTTTACATTAAAGCAATGTAATAATTTAAATTAACTTGTCTTAAAGTGCAATTCCACTTTTGCAGGCAAATTGGGATAACACCCATTTTATATTTGATACATGTTCCCATTCACAAAGTATAAGCTAAAAAAAAAAATGCTTTGTGCAGTTTAAATTGTTTTTCACTTGGTTAGGGTTTCTTGGTTCAAAGTACCGCAGCGCTGAATACTGAAAAATGGCCTGGATGGGAAGGGGGTTTAACACCGCGGATGTCAACTGGTTAAAGAACTCCAGGGAAACAAATTTTCCTAACCCTTCCAGTGGAGCTAACCGTGCGCTGCAAGGGTTAACTGCTTGTTTGTGTCTAGGTTAAAAAAATGACAGTTATAGTTCCAAAGCTCCGAGCTAGCTGGCTGTCACAGCTCTCGCTCCCGCCTCTTATGCCGCAGCACTTGAATTTTCCTCAGCGTCCTCGCGTCTATACATTGTGTATAGAACGTGATGATTTACAGGACATTAGACCGCTGCAGTGGAGGGAAAGAACATGCTGCCTGTGCGGTTCAGGGGGGGTATAACTTTGGTTTGTGTGGCGTTTTTTTTTTCCCCCCTAGACAAAAACTAGTAGTTAACCCTTGCAATGTGGTGGTAGCTCCACTGCTGGGGTTAATACATTTTTTTTCCCCCTGGATTTCTTCTTTAAAGGTTAGAATTTCGACTTCTCCTTTTGTAATATTAGGGTGGGCTGTGAGGGGGTTTCTCCATTGTATGTTAGTGAAGTTTATAAAGGAAACACAATCCTCAAATTTCAGTCCTGTCTTTCTGTAAGGACAGATCACTGTGAGGGGTTCTCAGAAAAAAACTGGAATCAGCCAAAACCTTTAAAAGGCAACAAATATATTAGAGCTGCAACAATTATTCAATTAAGTTGATGAAAATCGAAGATGTAAAATGTTAATGTTTTCCATCGTCGATTCGTCGGCTAAAATGCAAATTTCCCGCACACGCTGGTAAACCCGCTTACGCCACGCCCACCGCACCCGCTGAGGACATGCTTCTTGCCCTCTCCTCCCGGTGAGCTTCCCGACTCGCCGCTGCCCGCCAACAACCAAGGGCCCACCGTCATTCAAAGTAAGTCGAGATCGGCCAGGGGCTTTTTAATGTTTCCTGTTTTTTTGTTTTTTTTTTAAAGCGGCACACTACAGAACATTAGCAGCCATAGAGAAACAACAAATCCCAGCAATAATACTGCTTCCCGGCCGGCCGTTGTAACAGGTCGTGCGGCGCAAGCGAGAAATGCCGTCAATTTAAAAACAGGCAGCGATGCCTGATGACATACAAGCGTTCCGCCGGCTATAGGCTGTATAAGCTGTCACTTCTTTTGTCATCACATAAGGGGATTTCTTAGCCCCCTATCTGATAGCAATAAATGTAAGTGGAAAAAATTAGTTTACCCCCCAAAAAGAAAGCTCTATCTGTCCCCAAAAATGGTATAAAACTAATTTCAGTACAGCGTTGCATGACGGAATAAATGTCAGTCAAAGTACCGCAGCGCTGAATACTGAAAAATGGCCTGGCCAGAAAGGGGGTCTAAACACCTGGTCAGCAAGTGGTTAATGTAACTGTATTATGTATTATTGCTGGGATTTGTTGTTCCTCTATAGTTGCTAATGTTCTGCAGTGTGCCGATATATTATACATTGGTATTCGTCGGCTAAAATTAAAATTTCCCGCTCGCCGCTCACGCCCGCCTGTTTGCGGCTCCATACACGAGCTACGCCGCAGACACCGGGCACACGCCACGTACCCGCCCACAGCACAAGCCGGACACACGCCCGCAGAGCACGGCGCCGCTGCAGCAACTTACAACTGTTCAGAAACAGGTAAGGGGGGACCTGTTTTTAATGTTTACTGATTACAAAAAATTAAAAAGCGTCACAGCAGAACACCAGCAGCTATAGAGGAACACCAAATCCCAGCAATAGTACATTAAACAGCCTGTATAATGTATTATTGCTGGGATTTATTGTTCCTCTATAGCTGCTGGTGTAATGCAGTGTACCGCTGTATTATACATTGGTTTTCTGCATTGTATTGTGCATGGTGTTCTGCATTGTATAATACAGTGACACACTGCAGAACACCAGCAGCTATAGAGGAACACCAAATCCCAGCAATAATATATTAAGCAGCCTGTATAATGTATTATTGCTGGGATTTGTTGTTCCTCTATAGCTGGTGGTATTCTCCATTGCACTGTATAATGTATTATTGCTGGGATTTGTAGTTCCTCTATAACTGGTCAGTGGTAATCTGCATTGCGCAGTATAATCCTTATACAGCGCAATGGAGAATACCACCAGCTATAGAGGACTACAAATCCCAACAATAATACATTATATTCAACGCAATGCAGAATACCAGCAGTTAGAGGACTACAAATCCCAGCAATAGTACATTATAGTATAATGTGCTATTGCTGGCATTTGTTTTTCTATATAGCTGCTGGTATTCTGCATTTCGCCGTATAATCATTATACAGCGCACTGCAGAATACCACCAGCTATAGACTAATACAAATCCCAGCAATAATACATTATATGCAACGCAGAATAACGCCGGCTACAGAGAACTACAAATCCCAGCAATAATACATTATATGCAGCGCAATGCAGAATAACGCCATCTATAGAGGAATACATTAGATCCCAGCAATAATACATTATATACATAATAGTATAGTATAATGTACTATTGTTGGCATTTGTTGTATTCCTCTATAGCTTCTGGTATTCTGTATTGTGCCGTATAATCCTTATACAGCACACTGCAGAATACCACCAGCTATAGAGGACTACAAATCGCAGCAATAATACATTATATACAATGCAATGCAGAATAACGCCAGCTACAGAGGACAACAAATCCCAGCAATAGTACATTATGTTATAATGTACTATTGCTGTATTCCTCTATAGCTCCTGGTATTCTGCATTGCGCCGCTGTATAATGTACTATATTGCACACCACACTTTTTTTTTTTACTTCCACCGTGCCAAGCTTGCTCCCCGTGATGGACTACAATCTCAATAGAAACTAGTAGTCCATCACTGGAGCCTTCCCCCCCCCCCCCCCCGATTAACCAAACTTAATCGGATAACTAATCGATTATGAAAATAATCGTTAGCTGCAGCCCTAAAATATATAACATATAGTGGGATGTTCTCAAATTTGACTGCAAAAGTGGAAATACAGTAACCATAATTACAAACCTTATTAAAATGCTTTGCTTCCTTAGGATGGATGAAAATGTAGACAATCACAGTCTATTGTTCACAGACAGCAGCACCCTGCTCATGGCAGGTATGCAGAATCATGTCATCCAGATGGATCTCAATACAGTGCAGGAAACACAAAAGGTAATATTTGTCATTTTGCTTCTTGTTGCCATGCTGGCCCAAATAAATCCAAAGTAGTTACATTGTTACCAAGTTAAATCTAGAAATAACAGCAACGTATAACTATTATTTCATACACAACATTACAAAATACACATTGCATAAAAATACTTGTGGATAAAGTTACTCTGTATAAGAAAATCAATCGTCCACTAAATAAAATTGGCAGCTGTCCAGTTTTCCCCATATTTTCATGTGAAGAGATGAAACATCTGTACAGCTACAGAAACCATTATCCAAAATAATCGGAACTTTTATGTTCGGCAGATTTATTTCTTCCTTGTACTGGTGACGCAAAGCCTTTCTTTATAGAGGGCATATGGGTGCCCTTTCCTGCCTTTGGTTTTATTCATTTCCCATTGCATGGGTGGTGACTCAAGTTAAGCAGCGCAAATCAGATGTGTTCGGTGAATTTTTTAGGGCATGTTGAAATCTCTACATTTTGACTGTTTTTTTTAACGCATCATTTCATTTGTGGGTTGTGGTGTATGTGTGTGTTTTTGGTTGTTTTGTTTTCTCTAAAGTTTAAACTGTCACTAAACTCAGTTACAGCTTCAGAATGCATTCAATGTATCTTCTTTGTGTATCACTTGGCTGTAGATCCTCAAATCATCTCTGAATTCAATCTCATGTTTAGTTTACTAACTTGTATTGAGAGTGTAGTCCATCACGGGAGTGAGCTTGGAGCGGAGAATACTTTACAATACACACAGGGACCATGGGGAACAAAAGTAGCCACCCTCCAGAAGGAAGGGCAGTGTCAGCGCCAATTCAGAGATGATTTGAGGGTCTACAGCCGAGTAATACACAAATAAGACAAATTGTTCTTAATACCCTGTTTCCACGAAAATTAAGACCTACCCCGAAAATAAGACCTAGTACTATTTTTGGGAATTGCTAAAATATAAGACCTACCCCAAAAATAAGACCTAGTTGTGACCATTCCCAGGGCTGATGGTGGCGTAAGGGGGAACTTAAAGAGCTGTGGGAGAGACAGAGAATATTTGTGCCAACGAAGCCATCGCTAGAGGAAGTAAGGCGGCACCGGATGGAGCAGGGCCGCATAAGCCGATGCCGCCTCTATATATCGCCGGCTCCTGTACCAGGCGGAGTAATACTAAATGCACTCTGCCTGTGAGGAATCGATAGTGAAAGTGCGCTTTGCTCATTCTGGCCAGCGATTGGTTAGCAAATTGCTCTTGGAAAGGTATGGCACCCCTGATTGCCCTGATCACCATATTTTTGTACATGATTAAGTGTGGATTGTTGTACATAAAAAAAAAAAATAAGAGCTACCCCGAAAATAAGACCTAGTGTGTTTTTTTTATGAGCCCAAAAAAATATTAGACAGTCTTATTTTCGAGGAAACACGGTCGCATACACCCTCGCACACACCTACCTGTATGTTAAAAGCATTCATAAGCACAAGTGAAGAACTGGCATTATTGCATGTTCATAGATGTTAACCATCCCCTTAGGAGCCCATGACCAGTAAAGTTTCTGTGTGCACCTAAGATTACTGTTGGCCTGTCTTTAACTTTCCTTTTTTGCAATATTTTTTTTTTTTTTTAAATATAGAGAATATTTGCAAACTCGCTATGAAAAATCTCATATTTTACTTTTCCCTTTAACTAGTATACAGTTGAAGATCCTGGTATTACAGTTATGCGACAATCCAATCGCTTCTTTTTCTGTGGGCACACATCAGGGAAGGTATGTCCGAGTTGCTGTCTGTTGCAGATTTGAGATTAGACATTGCCACAATGCAGAAGTTACAGGTCAACAATGTATTCAATTGTCTAGTGGAATGCTTTGTGGATTTATTTCCTTTCTGGTTTTATTTATTGATATTATAACCCTTTTTTAGCTTAAAAGACAACCTTACCTTTTGTACAGTTGTCCTATGACTTATTCCTTTCACCCCTCCGAGTGCTGCCCACTAGATCTTACACTTGCCTCAAGCTCTGATGCAGTGATATTCACTGTATGGCCCACTCGGAGCCACCCAGCCTTTCTCCAGAAGTAAACCAGTTTGCAATACACATGCATTCCACTGCTCCATTTACTCCTGTGGGAAAGCCATACTTTGGGTACCCTCAAGTTGCTTGGACAGCAACTTGCCCTCAAGACTGAATGACTGTGGTATGCATGCGCATATGAATGGTGAAGACTGAGTGGTGCCGCACCGTGAAGATCACTGGATTGGGCTGAAGGTAGGTATTTCACCTAGTGGGCAGCACTCGGGTAGTAACTTATTATAGGACAACTGTACAAAGGTGTGGTTGTACTTGAACGATACTACAGTATACATAAAGAATAAACATTCTGAAAAAGAGTTATGAGAAAAATATGTGGGCTGTGACTGTTGGCTTCCGTCTAAAATTGTTGGCTATTGGAGTATCAAACCCAGAACAAACATACAGTGCATGACTTTTAGAGTATGTTTAGAATTCCATAATTTTATTCTTCTAGGTCAGTGACTTAAAGTATTAGCCAAATTTTTATGGCAGATATGTTGAGCGTTACAATCCACCCCATGTAGATCCATAGGCCGGTCAAGCCAGGTGCTGGTGTGGCAAGGTGCAGAGTACATTGCTGTCCCTTTTATTTGGCATTAGGCTGGTCCGTTTTATAGTTTTAAGCAGCTATCTAATTGTGAGACCTCAACTAATGAAGTTGGAGGCTTTTTATGCAGCATATTTTTATGTTTCAAAGAAAACCTGAAAGAAATCAATAGATTGTCTTTCATTTGTTCTGGGTCTGAAAGTATTGCAGACAGAGACAAACTGGAAACTATTATATTGAGGACAGCAATGGCAATCCTTGTATTTACCTCTACTGGTTTTCTTTAAATCCTTGGTTCTCAACTGGTGGGTCGTGACCCCATGTCCAGTGGGTCACCACATGCCTTACACTTTTCAAGGTGAGAGGATCCTCAGCCTCCCCCTAGAGAAGCACTGTCCGCATCGAGCAGCCATTCAAAAATATGATGTCGACGTGGGGTCGGGTGGAGTGGGGCTATGTCCACGAGGGAGCTCCATCCATACCGGCATTGCTTACAGCTCATCACATTCTGGCTCCCGGCACCTCTACAGGCACGCAATGAGCTTCACAAGCAATACACATATGGATGGAGCTCCATCACAGCAGCCCACACTGGACCCCAAGTTGAGGATCCACTCCAGTTTTCGTAATGGCAACCCATACACACCTCCCACCTACAGTTCGCTCACGTGCATCGGAAACCGCAACATGGAACATTACAGTGCAACTTGGGTCGCGACTTAATGACCAAGGACAAATGTGGGTCCCGAGGTTACACAGGTTGAGAACCACTGTTTTAAATTGATCTGTTCACAGCAACACACTGCACTGAGATGCATTGTTAAAGAAAAACAAAATTTCTTTGCACCCATCATGAAAATCTCAGAGGACAGAAGATTGAGCTTAATGTTTAGCTTCAGCTATACTTGTTTTTTAATGGAATATAAGATTTTTTTTTCCCCAGTGGATTTAAATGATAACAATATGGAATATGATTAATTGACAGCATTCCCCTATTTTTTTATGTGTTTTTTTTGTTTTTGTTTTGTTTTTCTCTTTTTTTGTTTTTTTCTTTATATTCATGTAAAACTGTTTTCGTTGACTTGGCTTTATTTGGAACTTTGTAGGTGTCCCTTAGAGATCTGCGCACTTTTAAAGTGGAACATGAGTTTGATGCCTACTCCGGTAGCCTGTCTGACTTTGACGTCCATGGAAACCTGGTAGTTACTTGTGGTTTCACCAGTCGTATGAATGTTTTGGGTTGTGACCGCTTCTTAAAGGTTTATGATTTACGCATGATGCGGGCCATCACCCCTCTACAGGTCCATGTTGACCCCCTCTTTCTCCGATTTGTTCCTACCTATACATCACGACTAGCAATTATTTCCGAACGAGGTGAGCGTTCTTTACTACTTTTTTTTTTTTTGCTTTCTAGGCATGTTAACTCCTGAGCTTTTAAATATGCAAAAATGCTAATTTTATCTGTTAAACAAACAAAAAAAACATACAAAAAAAGTCACCGATATTGCAGTCCACAGTAGATGGGCTAATTTTACAATACCACCCACTGAATATTTCCTAGCTGAAAAGAAACCCGTATTGAGAGATTTGTAGGCCTTTTTGTCATACAGATCCAGTGGCCTTTTTACATTAAATCACACCCAGAAAAGTTACGCAGTTAAAAAGTGCTGAGATAAAGCCAACTTCAGTTGCTTTATGCTTTTTCTGGTTCAGTAACAGCATTGAAGCCAGATAAAAAGGCAACTAGCATTTTTAAACATGGGTCACTAATGGCAATAGACCTGTTTCCCTCCGTGCTGGATTCCTTAAGTTTTTTTTAAAGCTATACAAGTGATCTAAATGTATCATAAATATGCCTGCAAAATATATTAAGAACTTGCGACCTTGTATATGCTGAATTGTGACTGGTTATCTTTATTGTAATGCTGCTCATGACTGCAAGCTATAAACACAGCACAGTTCTGACCAACTAAAAGGAAACCTGTGCTGAAAGAACTTTGTAGCCTATGTGAGATTTTGGAGATATTGGCACTTATGGTGAGCTTTTTAAGAATGCAGTCCACTCGCAATACTTTTTTTTTTTTGGGTACTGCTAGCCCACTTTCTTTTACAGATCAAACATCCACATCGGATACCCTTGCAGGTGGTCAGCATCCATATACTGCTTGCCAGATGAATATAAGTTCAGCCTCCCTGCTTCTAATCTCATCTGGCTGTTTTGACCTACTGGTCCTTTGTCTGTTCAGACTAGTCTTCACTGTAGTCCTGTCCTGCACTTGCACTAGTGGCACTCAGGCCCCTGGCTCTCTCTGCTTCCCCAGCTGTCTCTCCTGTACCTCCAGCGCGCACACACCACCTGGGTCCACTCTCTGACTTCTGGGTGGAGTCCTGACTCCTGGACAGTGACCTTTCCTATCTTCTAGCTGGAGCCCTGAACCCTAGCCAGCATCCTTTCCATAAGGGCTGTGCAGTCAACAAGTGCTGGTCATTACAAAAACATGGCCCCCGGAATGGAGATCTCATCCCTCCCAGTTCTTTTAAATCTCCTGGTTCCAGGATCCAGAAAATCTGAAAAGCCAGCACTTTCCCTGTAAAGACACCTGCATACTGAAACCCCTCAATCCCCTCTGGCTGGGTGAGCATAACACCAGATTCCACAGTGAGATTGCCATGCAATACCACACCTGCCATTTCTGATCTTTTGAATGTTATATTTCTGATTTAGACAGCACTTATGTTCTGTGTTGCTGTTCTGTGTGATTAACTCAGCCAGAGAACCTACATTTTTAGAAGGGCAACTCTGCAATGTTCGCCTACATATTCCTCTCTGTACCTATTTACTTTAGTTGAAGTATCAAACGCAGTCAAAGGATGGAAGACCGTGTGAGGTCAAGCTTTTGACAGGCCAGCAACGATCACACCTCAAGTAAACACTTATCTTGCCAGGTTCCTTTTTTAAAAGGTTCTTGTGTGGTCAGAAATAAGGGTGCTGCCATAGTGGACTTTTCCCAGCTCTTGCTTTTTTTTCTTTGGCTATAAGCCTCAGCTTCTCTGCTTAGTGAGTCGCTGACCTTGGAAACATATATAATAAAATAAGCTGGATGACCTGACTTGAATTATTTTGCCCAGTTTTGTTCTCTATGTTGAGAAGCCAAGGATGAGGCTAATGACCAGTTATAAAGTAATATCCAATAGAAGTTGGCTTTGACAGTACCCTTCTTTCCAAAATGACAGGATAACTGTAGAATTACAGTGCAAACCAGAATGCTCCAGTAAAGAAGAGCTGTATATAGTATATTCAGCATTTGTAGAAATACAGACTCTTCAGTAAGTAGTAAATTCCTCTTAGGGGTGGATATGCCTGAATTCTGCCTAAAGGTAAATCCTAAGTCTTTTTTGTTTGACTATTTCCATGAATGTATTGTATGTACTACAACGTGTAGTGTTGCAGCCTGAAGCACTGTACACCTTGGCCCATGTGTCTGTATTTGAGATAAATAACCAATATAGTGGCTGATCACATACTAATATTTCTCCTTATTTATAGGTCAGTGTCAGTTTTGTGAACCGAGTGGTTTGGCCAATCCTGCGGACATATTTCATGTCAGCACAGTAGGCCAGCTTATCATGTCCTTCGATGTGTCTGCTAGCAAGCAAGTTCTGGCATTTGGGGACTCTGATGGCTGCATCCATTTGTGGGCAGATACCCCAGAAGCAACATTTAATACTTACCCACGGGACACAGAGTTTGCATTGCCTTGCATGGTGGACAACTTGCCACATTTGGACTGGAATCAGGACCTTTTGCCTCTCTCTCTTATCCCCGTTCCACTGCCGAATGAAACCTTGCTTTCCGATTGGCCTGCTGCTAATTCTACTCCTGCACCTCGGTACCTCAGTCCATTTACTTGTCATTCAATCTGCTAAGCTCTATTATAGAGAGAGATAGATGGATAAAATAATAGATTAGAGAAAAGAAGATAGAATTCTAGATTAGATGACAGAGGATATACTGAAAGCATTATTACACAGAGCCTGTCCCTCCACTAATGTAAGTAATCATGAAACCTATATAGCAAAAATCCAGGGAATGCTACAGACTGCATACGCCCACCAGCAGCTTACACATGTATGGAAATGATTAAGTTTTATTTTCTCTAGGCCAAAATGTAAGAAATGCCTTTTTTTTTAAATATTGTTCCTTTTGCCATGCTTTGATCGTTGTTTCCACTGCAGCCCCAACACAAGACAAGGCAATTTGCCTTATCACAGATGGATACCAGTCATACCACCGTGTTGCGGCGAAAACTTGGTGGTGTGTGCTGGTGAAGAGTACAGCATGCCATCCTTTTTTTTTTTTTTTATGTGCAGCTGGATGAGACGCGGAACAACTGCCTCGCACCCCGCTGTGCCTGTAGAACTGAATTAAATATCACTTTTGAGGTTTTGGTAAAGTTCTAAAAAAAAGTACATGTGCGATGTGCTGGGATCAGAGCATCAGCACTTTGTCCGACACCACAAACCAGCTATTGTGTGTTTTGCACAGCGGCTGTTGTAAATGGACCATCAAAGTTTTTTTTTTCCAATAGTGAATCCAGATCAAACAAATATACATTGCTCAGCAAAATACCCCGTTTCCCCGAAAATAACTACCCCGAAAATAAGAGCTAGTACTATTTTTGGGAATTGCTAAAATATAAGACTTACCCCGAAAATAAGACCTAGTTGTGACCATTCCCAGGGCCGGTGGTGGCATAAGGGGGAACATGAAGAGTCATGGAAGAGGTGGGGGAGAATCATCGGTGCCAGCGCTAGAGGAAGCCAGGCGGCAGCGGAGGGAGCAGAGCCGCATATGCCGATGCCTCCTCTATAGCTCCGGTCACAGGCGGAGTGATGCCAAATGCACTCCGCCTGTGAGGAATCGATGGTGAAAGTGCGCTTCGCTCATTCTGGTTACCAAATTGCTCTTGGAAAGGTACGGCACCCCTGATTGCCCTGATCACCATATTTTTGTACATGAATACATATAGACTTTTCTACATGAATAAGTGTGGATTGTTGTACATTAAAACAAATAAGACCTACCCCGAAAATAAGACCTAGTGTTTTTTTTGTTTTTTTTTTGAGCAAAAAAATATATAAGACAGTGTCTTATTTTCGGGGAAACACGGTAGTTGCATTTTTGGCAAAAACTAATTTTGCTGAACAGCGGCAACTCTCACCTCTGCCTCCATGAACTTCCTGTTCAGTACAAGATCACAAGGAGAGATCAGTTTTCAGCAGCTGTTGATTTTAATATCACTTTCATACAGCAATACTCACTCACTCTTTCCCTTTGTGTATAACAAAGCTGTGTCTTGTTAGGAATTTTCCAGCACCAATTAATTTTTTTATTACACCTCAGTTCTGTTCAATATCTAATTTGTCCCTCACCTGTACTGAGTAGTGTCGTTCTCTTCTTCAGTCGGGCTCCTCCTGTAGATCCAGAGATACTGCGCACAATGAAGCAAGTTGGATTTATTGGCTACTCTCCTAATCCTAGAACAAAGCTCCGGAATCAGGTCTGCCTTCTCTGTATTCTTTAGTGTGGTAAATACTTTATGAAGCCAAAATAAGTGTTTGCTGAATGAGAAATATCTTATACTGCAATTCATTGTCTAATTGTTTCCATGAACCAGTTTTCTGTCTATTTATGGAAGTGTTTTTCATGTCTTTAGAATCCCAGAAATCTGTTCACCATACCAGTGGCTTCTAATAAAATAGTAAATTGAATTGTGTGAGTCATTTACACAATCACAACAATTTACATTGTAAATGTGGTGCAGTGCGAGTGCCTAAAGTGCAAGATCCCTGCGATGTATAGTCAACCTCAGATTTGTGCACTCTGCAAAAATGCAGGAACACCTAAACCCACAGTTACATACACCTATGTGCATTGCTCTACATGCCATAGGATATGTAATTCTGTTCAGCCAGCCTTGTGAATCACACTTTTCTGCCTTACTGCATAGCTAGGAAGGTGACAACATTGTTTTCTATATCCGCTTACTGAGCTACATACCTACTCCTTGAATCAACATCATTGGACATCTGACCTATTATTCAAAAGGTGAGCAGGCAAACCGTGAAGCTGTATAGTTTCACTAGGAGATAGTGGAGTCCTAATTCTGGCTATGGTACTCCTGTGTTTGAATCCACAGACTGGCCGAGCAGAAATACAAATCTTATGGTGTGTAAAGAACTTTTTACATTTGTGTATTTCAGCTGTATATTAAAGTGTTTACCTAGTGTTCTGCTTTAATTTACAGAATAAGAAATCTGGGTAGGACCACTGTGGGGGGGGGAAAACAAATGTATAATTTCCAATGAGTAGGTCATGTTTGGTAGTGATCTCTGTATGCATAATCGGCTAGAAATATCTCTACATCAGTTTGGCCCTCTTAGTTTCTTGCTCTTTGCTGCCGTTTTGCCTCACACAGCATAGAGAAAAAGCCAGGCTGTCAGTCACAATCCACACATCAGACATTCCAGTGACGGTTGCAGGTCACTGCTTTCTGCAGTAAACATGCGTCAGCAGCCATGGGATTGCTTGGGAACGTAGACATCTGTGTTTGACACCGCTGATGGAGCAGATTATGAGGGTACCACTATAGTTATATGTATATACTTGGACATATTGCATAACATTATTTACGTATAGAAGCTTGAAATAGAAATTGCATATAACTTTTGCGATTTAACACATTCAGTGCAAATTTTGTATGGGTAACTGTTTGCCATGTAGCCAAATACAGTGGTACCTTGGTTCACAAACTTAATTTGTTCCACGAGTCTGGTCGCGAACCGACTTGGTCGCAAACCGATTCAAATACTGTATGTGCTAAAAAGCTTCACAGCAAGTGTGCACTGCGGGGAAGATGGTCGTGTTCGTCACCCGATGCGGAGTTCTCTAACGGAAGCAAAATTTTGCCGAACTTCCTGTTCGCGAACCGGTTTGTTCGCGAACAGAAGCGTTTGTGAACCGAGGTATTACTGTACAGCCTATTATACATTATCTGCCTGTGAGCAGACTGCCTTCATTGCCATGCAGAGGGATTAGTTTGCAAGCAATCACATGTTTCACTAAGAGAGGACCAGGCTACACTGGTTTATTTTTTAGGAAATTTTCAATGGTTGGACCAATCATTGGTAATTGCCAATGTTGTCTTAAAACAGAACTCCAGGGGAAAAAAAATCCTAACCCTTGCAGTGGGGCTACCCCCGCATTGCAAGGATTAAGTGCTCGCTTGTGTCTGGATTAAAAATAAAACCTTGGATCCGGCCGGAAGTGACAGTGCCCCCTCCTGCCTGTCTCCTCTCCTGCAGCAATGGTACGTCCCTTGGCTTCCTCATATCCTATACACTGCATAGAATGTGATCACTCAATTCCAATCCTTGGACTGCTGCAGCAGAGGGGGAGCAAAACGGAAGGGACTGGTCTAAGAGCCAGCCGGCACAGAGTATGTTGTTTTTTTTAACTTTGTCACAAATGAGCAGTCAACCCTTGCAGTGCAGGGGTAGCCCCACTACAAGGGTTGAGAATTATTATTTTTTTCCCCAGACTTCTGCTTTAAACCTACACTAAGTATTTATAGTCTCATTTCAGCCGTGCATGGTCATGTGACTAAAGTGGTGGTTCACGGTCATGGGAATATGGTGTTCTACAGCTGGCTCATTTGACAGTCTGCTATGATGTGGTCTAGAAAGATAGCTGTGCAGAGTCGGGGTAGGCAAAGACAAGTAGTTGTCTCCAGAGAACAAGATGAAAGTGAAGGGCCTATGATCACACTGCACCAGAATCTGCTACAGTCTTTTTCCTGGCGAGGATGGATATGGTGGGCAATAGGTAATCGTTATGTACTTTTTTTTTTTCCCCCATTACAAGGGAACTATAGGCTATCTGTCCCAGCGAATTTACAACATGGTAGCAAATCTTTGCTCAATTATTTCCTTCTGAACACTAGAAACCCTTATTACCTTACATTTGCCTTGTTGCATGCACAGCTAATATCTGGCTGTGTAAGGTAAGCTTCATAAACCACAAATTAGTACAAACAATAACTAAAGGGTAAATACCATAAAGATGCATCTAATACTGTAACAGTAATTCTAGCAAGATTATTAAATTGCAATGGAAAAAATGGTCCTTCATTATTTCTGCCCAGGCCCCTTTCACACGTGCGCTGTCAGTTCTGATCAGCAGTATGGAATGGATCTCACCATTGTGACATCTGTGTCTTTTTCTATGCCGTCTTACTATGGAGGAGAAAACTGAACTTGCCTGACCCAGTTTAGGTCTATGGGAGTCAGATGCAAGCAGACATGTCAGTTTAAATGTATTCTACCGGGCCTGCGCTTTCAGAGAATATATGGTTTGGGGGGTCTTTTACAAACGCTTGCAACACAGCATTTGAAAATCAAATCAATGGGAAAAATTGCAAAAATGGTTTGGCCAGCTGAGGTGCAAAATGTTCCGGAGGGCTTGGCAGCGAAAGGCTTAAAAGAGTGCACTTTGGGGATAACTCTTAACCTTTTCAGTGGGGCTACCCAACACGTCACCCCCCCTCCACTGCAAGAGTTGAGTGCTTGTTTTCAACTAGGGACGGAAATTTAAGAAAAAGCTGTACTTGCTTGAACCTCGCCAGCCAGCTGCGCTGTTCAGGTGAGTATATAATTTTTTATTTTTGTCCCTAGATAAAAACAAGCACTTAACCCTAATTCTTAACCCAAGGGTTAAGAATTGTACTGCCCGGAGTTCTTCTTTATAGTATTGAAGCAAGAGGATTAGAATGATTGTAACGGCAGCGATTTTCTAGAAGTCTGTTTTAACCTGTCAAGTCTCCTGCAACATGTCCTCAGTCCCTGTGCATGGCTGCATTCTTTGCCCATCTAATACAACATATCTAGAGCCTCTGACCATTTTTCTTTAGCATTACATTCAGTAAATGTTATGTATGGCCGTTTTGATATCGTGGGCTGCAATTGAGTCCCCTATACAAGTTGATCAACACAAGTCTAATGTTACTACTGCCTGGTAAATCGTTATGTCCCCTGCCTGTACTTCTTACCTCCCCTTTTTGTTTCTGAATCTTCTGGAAGTTCTATGGGCTGCTGTGGCCGTTGATGTGCTCTTGAGTCTATTTATCCAATGTTACCCTCTAAAAAGCTTTTCTCTTGTGTTACAATGTACATGTTCTAGGTAGTTGTGGCAGGATATGCAAACCAGTTCCTGAAAATCTGTGCCATCTTTATTTTTACATGGCTTATTTAGCTTGGCATGTGATAATAAAGAAGCAGACTGTTATTGTTTTTATGTTCTCTGTTTTTTGCCTTTTAGGTGCCTTATCAACTGGAAAATGATTTTGACACTTTTAACCAAGTCCCTGAATCGCCAATAGGACGCGAGGAAGAGCCCCACCTCTACATGGTGCCCAAAAAGTATCGGAAGGTCCAGTAGCCAAATCTCTACTGTTTTTTTTTTTGTTTCACTGCTTGTCTTGAGATGTACTAATACCATAGTCACAAATAAAATTCACTAAAGCAATCTCTTTTCTTACGCCGCATATATCTAGCCATACATGAGCCGTATTAACCCAGAATGAGTGTTTTTAGAAAATACATTAGTTGTAACTGTTCATGCATGTGTTGTGAAGTCCTCGTAGGATCACCAGATGTTTTCTGCTTCCTAGAGTGTTTTTGAAGGGTTGAATAGGACTGGGTTTGATTACCTGGCTTGTCTTTGCTGCTGCTCAGGGGCCTGGTAGTGAGTTCTCTGTACTATTTGGGCGTAGTTATAACAGGCTGAGTTTGGCTTTTCTCCCAGTCATTATCAGCCATATGCTAGCCTTTTATTCTCTTAGATAATCTGCTAAAGGAGGAAAGAAACAAATGTTGTATTGTACCTCTTTGAATATTTTTTTAGGCACATCAAGTTTGTGACAAAGGTAGTTTGGCTGAAAAACTGAGCTGAGGAAAAGTGGGGGAAACTCTCTGCCAGAATCTTGAAACACAGGAAAGACTAAGCCTACCAGACCCACACTGAAAATTAAAAAGTTCTTTTGGGTGCATTTGATGTAACATGCTGGGATATAAATATGGGAGCAGCCATTGCTTAGGTAGTCATGGGGTCACCTCAAGTCACCTGTTTGCTGCCCATGAATTCCCTGACTTGCATTATAGTCAATCTTCTGGCTGTGCAGTGTGGGAATTCAGGCAGTTGGTAGACAGCAGCTGTCAGTCATCAGATACTCCAGCTCCAGTGTCGGGCTCAAAGTAATGAATTTCTAATAGTTCTACCTCTGGTGAGGTGGGCTTTATTTGACCTGGCTATGGATCTACTACAGTTTTTTTTAGATTGGGTCTTTCATCGCACATTGCACAGGTGTATACCCTACCAGCATGTTTGCAGTAGAATGCATTGTTTGTGAACATACACTGTACACTTGCTGTAAAGGACCATGAACAAAGTGAAGTGGTGGGAGCTGACCATATGAACATTCACAGCAATCGCTTGAAGAAGCAGTGTTGTATAAAGACTCATGTATCCTAGATATGTTTTATTCTGGCCCTTTTTGTCAATGGGTAGAGGAAGAGGAAATGCTACTCTGGGCTGAAGCACTGTAGCGATGGAAAAAAACAAGTTGGATAAAATGATTAGTCTTGCCATTAGGGCACAAAATCCTCCCAGCCACGAAGGGGTAAAACTAGTGTTGATTCCACAATAGGACGATTGGAAAATGTCTGTGTTGCCCTTTTGAGTTTAGTTTGATTCCAGCTGCCTTTTACTAACTTGCAGTGTAGAAATGAAATGTGGGATCTGGTTGCTGTAACAAATGGGAACTTTTTTTGTATGATGCAGTTCTTAGAATAGAAAGAAGGATTAAGGGAAACCATAAAATTGGAGATTCATTTCTGCAAATGATCAAACCCATAGGGAGGCTTGAAAGTCTCTGGAAATGTTTAAAGTTCCCAGAAATCTGATTCTTTTCCTGCGTCCTGAAGGAATAAGATATTCTTGCAACATTCGGATGTTATTTTTATCACATGTTTTGCAAAGAAAATTATTTGGTTTTCTTAGTTAACCTAAATGTTCATGTTTTTTTGACTTCTTTTTTTACAGGTAACAATAAAATATTCCAAACTTGGACTAGAAGACTTTGATTTTAAGCACTACAATAAAACCCTGTTTGCTGGCCTTGAGCCTCATATTCCCAACGCCTACTGCAACTGCATGATTCAGGTAAGTACGGGCCTTTCTCGCTGTGTGTAGGTGGTGCTGGCTGACTGGCCACATGAAAATGTCTGCCTGTTGTGCTGCATACAGGTGCAATCATGCCTGATTGGCAGTAGGGAACCAGAACTTGACATGGTAATGATATATTCTGCTTTACACAATTAGCCGAGAATTGTAGGTGACAGTTTGACACAAAAAGCACACCATGAGGGAGTAAATAGCAGTCTAACTGAGACGGCCTCCTTCGTTCTATGCTTTTGGCTTTCCCCTTTAAGTGTGTGTGTGTGTGTGTGTGTGTGTGTGTGTGTGTGTGTGTAAACATACAATTTTTAGCTCTTTTGATTCAGAATGTAATATATTTAAATCCCCGGCTGATCAGAATTAAACGAAAACTATGGGGTAAGTGTTTATCCTCATAGTTCTCTTTAGGGTCACGGGATGACATATAATACTAACCTCCAGTATATAGCAGGCTATTGTCCCCGATATACTGAGAGTGCCGCAGCCAGGACGGTTCCAGACAATACTGGCTCTGCCTATCTAGAGGCTGTGCCCTCCCCGTCCGTTCCTCCACTCAGCAGTGGAGTATCGGAGGGGGCGGGGGAATCCCTGCAGGGAGATGATTGGGAGAGGGAGTGGATCGGCTGCATGTTTCTGCTCTCCTCCCGATCAATAGAGCTGACCTGTGACAGCTTCTTTGTCACAGGTCAGCTCTAACTATGAGGATGAGTGGAAATCACTCACCTCATGGTTCTCCTTTTTATCAATCTATATTTCTCTTCCCAAATTCTGGTAGGAATGGTGTTTAAAGAGGACCTGTCTTTACAATCCACTCTTCATGTGTGTCAACAGGGGAAAGGCCAGCATGTGCAAATTGTTATTACCGTACTTCTTGCATACCATTAAAATGAACTATGCCCTAATGACATAAAGCTCAGGCAGCCAGTTACATGGTTGCTGGCTGGAGAGGCATGTACTGTTGCCATGTGAGAATTCACTTCCAGTACACACTAAGCTTTGGAGTCATCAGCTGTGGCAGAATTACTGTCACTTTAATACAGGGTCACCATTACAGGCTAACGAAACAGTTTCCCAAATGGGGGCTAAGATTTGGTGGTAATTGTATCAAAAATTCTAACTGCTAAGCAATAATGTAAAAGGTAAGACACTTTGATTAGAAGTAAGGTTTGCTAAAAGAAATGCTTTGACTGCCACTTTAAGGTGTATGTCAGTGCAAAGTAAAATACGAAGAAAAAAATACATTCAGTACATCTGTGCTGTACATCACTGCAGGTATGGAAAAATATCTGTTTTGCCAGAAATTTGGTGTTCTAACTTCCGACAACAGGACTCAAACCTTGAGCAGTCCTACTTGCTGGACAACAGCAGTGCTGTCAGCCCTGCCTGCTGGACTACAGAACTTGGCTTATCCCTACACATTGCTTCTTCACTCTACATGCATACATTTCTTTCCAAGTAAAAGAATGTTGTTGCATTTTACCCCTAAGAGCCTTCTCTGTGTTTAGAGAAAGTTGTGTGAGTGTGCCTACGGCTATAGGAACTGAACTTCCAGCTGCTGCCCTTGCAAATATTTTACCAGTCTAGTGATATCACAGGAAGTTATTTTTACCACACCCAAAGAGGAAATGTATAATAATGTGGCAATGATAAGGGCTATTAAGGTATCAAAAACACCACTGATGTAGCATAAAAGTAGGGTAAGATTACATCTTTATTTTATACGACAATATAAAGGAAAATTTGTGCATAATACAACACTTAAAACAGTGATCCTTCCTTCATATTCTGGCAAATAATCAAGACCTCCCTTTATAAAGATACCAGCAATATTGATTACGTATCTAAAGACAATATAGAGTCCAAAAAATTGGATATTATCATGTCATGGTATCAAGGGGTGCCAATATTCCTCCACGCGTTTCACACCCAATATAGGGGCTTCTTCAGGAGGAAGGAAGAGGATACTCTATATAGTTATACATGAAGGGAAGTATACAAATATATCATATTATGTAACATAGTAGCATAGATTAAGATATTATTGCAGTACAGTGCATCATACATGAATATTTAATGACCTGTTAGGTTGGTGTGACCGTTTGAAGGAAGAAGTGCATCTATAAAAGCCAAAGGGAAAATCCCTGCAATGTTATCACCAGTTAAGGCAACCGTCTGGAGAAAAGACCTAAGGTACACAGAGGTTCCACCATGCCTAGTTCAGGTATACTGACCTAGGCCAAGTTTTCTCAATTTTGGGAAAGTGTTAATTGAGGCTGATTTACTAAAAAGGTTAGGAATGTTCCCACATTTAATTGTGTGAAGATTCAGTGCAATTATCCAGTCATGTGGAGGTGAAATAAGTAAACGGGGATCTGCTTTTTACATGGCTGGTTAATTGGAAGTGAATCTTCATACAATATATTGTGTGGACATTCTCAGGTCCTTTAGTAAATCAGCCTCAAAGTCTCAGTGCTTCGTCTTTCCTTCCAGGTGATGTATTTGATGGAGCCAGTCCGATGCTTGGTACAGAACCATCTGTGTCAGAAGGAGTTTTGCCTAAGCTGCGAATTGGGATTCTTGTTCCACATGCTGGATTTGTCACGCGGTGATCCTTGCCAAGTAAGTCTGTTACAGTGAGTTATGCACAAATAATAACCTGCAAAGTTTTCAACACGCTGCTCTTTAACTTAGCTATTAATGAATACATAGCTGCCAGGCTCATTGGTTGCTTTCAGTCTCTGATCAATGTGATGTATTGAAAGGTAGCTCTTCAGGAGCTCCAACATGTATGATGTACTGAACTGGTTTCAGTTGCATTTACACAGTAATTACCGTTATTACTATTGGCAACCAGACAAAACCTCTGATTACTTCAGCTGTCTGCTAGAATCTATTGTGTAGCAGAAAAAGTGTTGCGGTGAAATGTTTTATAGTATCGAGTGTGAAATGAATTTATATATACAATGAGGGGAATTTATCAAAACATGGGCAACTGCTCCAGATTCTGTCTGCTCCAGTTTTGATAGATTCCCCTCATTGTATATATAAATTCACTTCACACTCAGATACTATAAACCATTTGTTTGTGTGTGTGGGTTTTTTTTTTCTATTTCATACAAAGAATATAACACATTTTATTTATTTTTAGTACTAAGGAATGCATGTACTTCATACAATTTTTGGTTACCAATCTTACACAGTTTGTATACACATTCAGGGTTTCTTTTCCTAGGCTACCCTTCTACAGGAATGAAGATCTATTATATTCATTGACTGTGACAGTTGTCATCATTGGTAGGCTCCTTCAGGACCCAGTGGGTGTCAGTGTCAGGGCCGCACAGTGGCTGACACAAGCCTGACAACACGGTTTTGTGTGTGAAGCTCAGATCTTCCCTTGCATACACTGAGGGGAATTTATCAAAACTGGAGCAGTTGCCCAGGCCAACCAATTAGCATTTTCCTTCAGTTTGTTCAGTTAATATTTGGAAATGAAAGAGAGAAGCTGATTGGTTGCCATGAACAACTGATCCAGATTCTGTCTGCTCCAGTTTTGATAGATTCCCCTTAATGTGTTTTCCAGGAACCTCTGTTCATCCCAGCAACAAGCAGAGGTCCGATTACTGCAGGTGATGGCTGTCAAAGCTGGTGCACGATTATGGGTGTGAAGATTATGGATCTAAATGTCTTAATTGTGTGCAGCTTTAGCGTTTGCCACATTTTGAGCCATAGCCATGTTTTGCATACCTGCAAAAGCATCTTACTAAAACTTTACCTATAGTCTAGGGCTGCAACTAATGATTTTCATAACCGATTAGTTGGCCAATAATTTTTTCTAGGGATGCACCGATACGGGTATTTTGGTACCGAGTAAGAGTACCGATATTTTTTTTTTTTTCCGTTACTCGCTGATACCATTTACAGAGTACCGAAGTCCCATTCAGGAAGCCGTGTAATGACTCGCCACCTGGCTTCCTGATTAACAAGAAAGCCGTCCCATGCTTATCACTATGACGAGAAAGCATGGAGCTGGCTTGCTGGCCAATCATGGAAGCCGGGCGCCGTGTAATGACGTGCCGCTTCCTGATTGGCCAGGAGACCGGCTCCATGCTCCCTCGTCATGAGATGATGAGGGAGCATGAAGCCGGCATGCTCTCATCACAAGTGACGGAGCCGCTTCCCGGCCAATCCGGAAACCGGGCAGCGTGTAATGACGCACTGCCCGGCTTCCTGATACCGCAAGTATCGGGCTAGATATTGGAGCATTTGTGCGAGTACTCGCCCAAATACTCGGTATCTGCACCGATATCGATAATAGTATCGATGCATCCCTAATTTTCCCAGAAAAAAAATAATTAAATACCAACCTCAAATTTAAAATAAAATGCACAAATGGAGTGTTACAAACATAATGTTTACTTCACAATAAAACTGCATGCACAATTTTATGCAATCGCACTGCACTGGAATGCGCGGCAATGCAGTACCATGCGTTCCAGTGCGAGTGATCACACTGTGGGTGGGGTGACATTGAAATGAATGGCACTGTAATGCACCTCCTGCAGTAGAACTTGTCAGGCAGAAACAGACTTTTCCCCACTTTTAAATTTTTTTAATTTTTTTAAATAATTGAATTGTAAGCACATGGCACTTGAATAGCTTCAGCCAGGGAATGACAGCTGCCAGTGGCAAGATTCTGCAGACAGCAGCTGAATGTAAATACAGCAGGTAGTGGGCTGATGCAATAGTCAGGTTGCAATTGGCCATTTCAAATTGCAATAGCATGTTGGCTATTCCACCCGCCCACTGCTTGCTGTGCCCTCCTCCCAGCGTGGAGGAGAAAGATGAGGGCTCCAACCAACTAATCGATAAACGGAATGCATTCCGTGCGAAGGTTATAATCAAATGGACATTAAAGGCCAAGTGCCTGAACCACTGGCTTCAAGAGGGCATACTGAGCCAAAAGGGTCAGATCACAGGTGGCATGTTGACCAAAATACTCAAACCTAAAATTTAAAAAGAAATCAATACATGAGCTGCCATTGTATGCCTGTTGCTAGCTTTACACCTCTACAGAAAGTAATGGAAGGCCTAGAAGAAAAAAAGAAAATGCTTTTATATGCACTCTATTGTACCTTTTTTATTTATACAAGTCAGTGTAATTGTAAAATAAAGGCCGGTTAGAGGCCCTGGAACTGTGCTTGCAACACCTTTTGTGATCTCTTCGTTCTTCATTCTGATATGTTTACATTATTTTAAAGGCCAGTAATTTCTTGAGAGCTTTCCGAACCATCCCTGAAGCAGCAGCACTGGGTCTTATTTTGGCTGATTCAGATGAGGCAACAGGAAAGGTCAATCTTGGTCGTCTAATCCAGAGCTGGTGCCGCTTCCTTCTGACTCAACTTCACCAAGAGACACAGGAGCTGGAAGGCCCACAGGCTTATCGTGGTATTGGAAGTGCCAGGTAGAACACTGAGCATTAAGAGTCCCCCCTCTTGTTTAGATTATCTGTGTTTGGCTAAAGTGACCTTTTTAGACGTTTAATGTTCAACCCCTTACTTAGAAGCTTGTCTTTGAATGTATGTGGTCACATGTCGATGTGATGGAATCTCAATGCCAAGTGAGTCAT